CGCATAGCTAATTAGAGGGTTCAAAGTTTGTTTAGAAATGCCAAGCGATACCAAAAGTTTCGATGATGTTATAGTGGACGAGTTTTCCGAACTTGTGCACACCATAAAATCGCTACGTCGGGAATGTTTTCGAAGTTAAGTCGGCAACCTGATGATTTCACGATGTGCGCAAGATCGGAAAATTCGTACACTAAAAAACTGAGGTAAGTCTTGGAATCCTTTGACATTTCTTAACAAACATTTCTATTCTTCACGAGTTGAAAGAATCGTATTGTTGAAATTCTGTAAAAATTTCTGACTGCTGGGAATTTAGTCAATTTGAGACGGCGCCTGACTGGCAGGAATTAAGACACCGCCTTAGGGCCTGTTCGCACTACGCGATTTTTTTGACTCACCAAAAAGTAAGATATGTAGCGCTTTTACACAAGTAGAAAAAAGAAACTGAATTTACATCTGCCGAGATCTATGTCCATTTACATGCTATAAGGTGTCGTGAAATGCAGCTTTACAAAATTGACAAAACCAAACCGAGTTCGAGATCAAAAGTAAGGAAATTTTGCACAAAAACGGACTGATGTAAAAACTTAGCAAACGAATACAAGATAAATATGTGCCACTTGTAATACAAGTAGAAAACGTAAATTGAATCTGCATCTGCTGAATTCTTTGCCATTCACATACAAGATGGTGTCGTTAATGAACCTTTAACAATGCCACCCAGAGTCCTTCTAAGTGAAGATCGTCGACAGCACGAAACTTGGCTTATGTCCAGTGAAGTTCATTACGTTGTTTAGGAAATGTTTCCTTTGGCTTAAAGTTGCTTTAAAATGCAGTTACGATGTTATGTGTGCATCAAGTTTTCTTTAGAATTCAGGTTGTCGTAATAAAATATTCGGGTCGAGTAACTAAACACAGATGGCATTATCAACCCGCGATCTTTGCACCCTGTCGCGTGATATATTTGTTTTCTTGAGGTCTAGTGAATTTGTTCACAAAGGAAGTTTTCCAGAAGTGAATGAAAATTATCGTGCTTGCTTAAAAGACTAAGCACTCCCCCATCAGCGCATCGATGATCAGCGTAACTGTTCCAGTCCCCTGCAGTGTAATACGTTTTCTGCCCAATCTTTCAACGCGTTCCTTTTCTGTCAAAGTCACGATATATTTTCATCAAATTAAATACACTTTCATAGCGAAACCATAGCAAGCTTCAGTTTCAATTTCAATTTTCTGCACTCTTTGGGATCAATTGACGTTCTCTCGAACAATGAACACTTTTCCACAAATTTAAAATCTTTATTTATGTGATTCAACACTGTAATATCAACAATCAATTATTAATTTACATTTCCAAGGGTTTTTCATGCGAAAATCGACCAGTGAAAGAGTTGTATTTGGTCGTGACGTGTGGCTGAAGACTTCAACAAACCCAATAAACCAACGCGTATTATATTGAAGGTCTTGGTGATGGGACCTATAAATGCTCCTCCGTTTGTATTTTTTCGGGGATTGTTGCTCTCTGCAGTTTTTATCACTGCAATAGATTCATCCACTGTTTGTCGATCAGCATACTTCTCAACGTTGGTAGATAAGCAGCTTAAAGGCTTCGTTGTAAAACGATTTAGGTCTTCCGGCCAAATTTGGTGTAGTCGATCTTGTTTGAAAAACACCTGGTGTACTTCAACAAACTTCAAGCTTGCTCCTCAAACTTCTGATGGCGAAGGAACTTGTGAACTAAACAAGCACGATACCTCTGTTATTAAACAAAACACATATTTGCAGTTTGAGAAAGGTGTCGCTTTCTCTATGCTTCGGCTAAAGGTAACTAATAGCCTAAAATACCTCATTCATATATTGGGCTCCGTGAGATCTTGTTGATGCGGCTGCAGTTTCATTAGCAGATAAATTATTTGTTTCAATTTTGAAATTTAACAAGTTTTGTGTATTGAAGTTACTAGTATTTCGTTTGTTAAGTGAATCGACTCATTTTTGTCGAAGTCTTTGTCGCTACATTGGTTTTTAGCAAATGTCAAATTTTCAAGGTGGGAAATGGGAAGTAATGATCAGAGCAGAATAATTGAAGTCGAGTTAAAATCCATTTCGATGAGGATACTTGTTATCATGGAATAACTGAGATGAAAGGCGCGGTATGATTGATAAACGATCTATCGTTGCTGCACAAGTTAACCCATGGCTATTTTGTAAAAGCGATAGCCCTTACTTTCTATCGATTTACCGGTGGTATAACTCACTATACGAGGTGTCATGCAAACTTTTATTTTTTCGTTTTTCGGTTTTAATTTACCTCCCTTATAGAGAAAAGACTCTCGCGAGATTCCGGCATTATTCTTGCGCATCCTGAGTAACATTCGGGTGGTATCAAACAAATATTCATCATTGGTCATTTATTTTGAAATGCTGATCATTCCAAAATATTTCGATTTTAAGTTTTTAATTAGAGCTGTTTTCATGTAGGTGAAATTAATTTTCCTTGAACAATGACATTAATTGAGAAATGATGGGGAAATACAAGAAAACACAAAATAGTCTCCGTTTCTTCGACAAAGGTCAAACGTGATCTTGAATTGAATTACTCTGTACATGGCTCATATGAGTCATCAGTTATGCAAAAATATCTGATAGAAAATATCTTGAAGTATTTGCCATGCTAGCAGCGAGTGGTTTAAAAAATTTTATTCACTATGATCAGAATTTTTCTTGCCACAAAACACCTGTTACCTGTGTTGCTTATTACTTTAAGCATTAGCCGAAAAGAAGATATTGACTTACTTTTGTCATTCTTGTTAAGATGTGTCTTTATCGTTAGCGTGTAAAATACACTTGAAAAATTCCATGATCTTATCGCCTGATATTCAGTTTACGAAGAAGCTTTTTTTTTCATATGACAAGATATTCTTTGAACGAAAGGTAACACACGGCGTAAGACTCAGAAGCCATCCTTTTTTCTATGGAATCTGATTTTAAAAATCATAATTTGAAGCGAAAGGTAAAGCACTACTTTGGAGTAATTTCAAGGTACGCTCATATTCGTGCTCTGATCAGGTTTTTACGATTTACTGTCTGTTAATACTTTTTTTTAGGGCTGTCCAACAACCAACAGTTGCAAAAATGGAGGTGTGTGTGTGTATGACGAGAAAAAACAGTCTTATTCATGCCAGTGCAAGCCCATTTGGACCGCAGAAACTTGTACTGATCTGGGTAAGAAGCAACTCAGAATAGCAAAATAAAGATGGTAAAGTAATGTCGGTCAAGGAAAATGGCAAAATATCTGTCTCCGAAACTTGGAAGCAAACAAACCAACAACGGTTTAACGGAAAATAGACAAACAAAGCAAAATAAAACGGAGCGTTTCGAGGAGAAAAAAATTCAGCAGAAAACTTATTGGAATGGATAAAAGCTGAAGAATTTAAATATATTTGTATACGTATAAGGTTAACTTTTAATCTCAAACCATACATCTTTTTCTTTTTGAAGTAAACAAATCATAAAATTTTCAAGGTTGATATATTGAGCTCTGGTTGAAGGAACGATTTACCTAAAGCGTCTTATACATGGCTGGTACAGCGGAAAAATGGGTGTCCATCGTCAGAGTCAAGTGACTCTCATGCTTGGATGCAAGGGTCCAATGTTTTCTGAAGTCTCTTTAAATTAACATTTCTCATAACAGTTAACAAAATATTTCTGACAATTCTTAACGTTATCTTATACTCCCAAAAAGTTACTTGTGACAGCCATCCCTGCAAAAACAGGGGAACTTGTAGAGACGGAGTCAACGGATATAACTGTAGCTGCGCACCAGGATTTCACGGGACACAGTGTGAAAAGATTGAAGGTCTGCCTTGTTCAACAGGTTTGTAGAGACGTGAAATAGATTTAAAATTTGATGTATGAGTCCCTAAATTTTGGCGTCAAGCTTTAGTGGTTTTTACAATAAAAAAGCGACGAGTTCATCATGCAAGGTGAAGAACGCGAAACATTGGCCCAAAACTTGCAACGAAACAATCTTGTGCGACAAGTTAAGGTTTTTGTATCTCGCATTTCGTCGCATTTAGCGCGGTCTGTACTGTTATCGACAACGCTATCCGTTATCACGGTAGTCAAAATTAAATTTTTTTTGCGGACTCACGAGGTGCACACTACATTTTGACCACTGTGATGACGAATATCGTTGTCCATATGAGTACAGACCACCTAAATACTCAAAATGTCTTGATATTTGCTTGTGAATTGTTTGAAATCTAGTTTCTTGTATTATCGATTACGTCAATAGTTGACAAACGATATAGGATAATCAATCTTAGACCTTAGGAAACGTGTGAGACACGATTTCTGATCACCTCAATATTTTAAAACTTCTTTCCACAGCTTACCGCATATTTTTTGAAAAGCGCTCTACCAAACGTCACACAAAGAAAGAAAACGCCATTTCTTCAATTCTATCGGAATTTACTGTCTGCTTTTTTGTTAAAATGAATGACACAAATACAAATGGAGAACAGTGCCTCTACAGTTACGCAGAAGCTTCAAGTATTTCTGGAAATGGTATTTCTGTTTGGTTGAACTATCCAAAGTCCAGAATTGGGATCAGTGTAAATAAGGCGAGGTAAGTGATCATGACGAGTAAAACAAAACAATGAGAAATTTTGGGGTGATTGGCATTGTATTGTATTGATAGTCACAATGATGGTAAAGTTTGGAGAGGGACCCTAGGTAACTTAAATTTGCCATGCTGGGTACTGTTTCAGCCATGGAATGAACTGTCTTGGGAGGATACGAGAGATTTTAACGTATATTTCTCTGTGATTATTTTCCAAGTGGTACAGACACCGGAGTTGGAATAAGTGACACTATGTGGCATCACATCTGTGTTACCTGGAAAAGCTCAAAAGGAGCCTGGCAGCTTTATATGGATGGACAGCTCCGAAGCAATAAAACAGGCTTGAACAAAAATCATAAGGTTCCAGCCGGCGGAACAGTTGTTATTGGACAAGATCAAGATTCAGCTGGAGGGGGCTTCGAACTCAGCGAAAGCTTTGGACCGGGTGAGGTGACAGAAGTTAACCTTTGGAACAGGGTCTTGTCAGCGAGTGATATTGCAGAACAGTATGCAAACTGCCACATTACCAAAGTCGGCCTGATGCACTGGTGGGAACAATTCAAAGATGGCGTTTCGGATGTGACAGTAATCGAGCCTTGAACCGAGCGTTGAACAGAACTGTAATCATTGACCAATAACTTTTTTTTGCACGAAGTAAAGCCTTTGTGTCACTGTGAGAGGTCATGTTCTTTTTGAGACAACGTCATCAATGTCTTGACACTTCTTTATTACTATCAAGATTATTTTTTATTTAATCATAAAGCAAACACTTAAATCTATAAAGTAACTGCAGTAAAACTCATCATAAGTAAATCCTGAATAAACTAACGTTTTAACCACACTCTATGTTATCCTGGACTTCGGAAGACTATCAGAGCAGATCTCTATATCCGCTTGCTAAGTGATGCCTTAGAGACCTACTATATCCAAATTTCACGCGCACTTCCGGGAATATCGAGAATCGATGGATCGTTCGGGAAAAAAATCGAGCTCTTTTGTATTTTGCTATAACACTCCTTTGGATGAAGGATCATCGAAGCGAACCTGTATTAAGCGGCACCGTATTAAGCGGTAACCCCGTCAGGCTAAGCGGTCGCTTTTCAAAGTCCCGAAATTGCTTCCCCTAATTACAGTAATTCAAAGCGGTCGTCGTCACACTTATTCGCCGAGTCCCAGTGGTACAAGCGGTCTCAGCGGCCTGTTTGCATTTTCCTCCATCTGCATTGAACAGTCACTGAAAATAGACCCATTCAAAATAAAACTAAGAATAGTCTTATGGTGTCGTGTAAGTCCGTAAACTTTCCTCTTTTGTCGGGTTTAGTTAGATGTTTGTTCAGGGTCTCGCCTCTTCATCTCGACATGTTATCGATTTGAACGTAAAAGCTTCGTCCGCGTCAAACATTCTCACATGAGCGTTTTATCCTGAACATATGTAACATATCCTTTGAAGAACAATGTAAATTACAAAGAAAAGAAAGGAAAAATGAAAGGAATAAAAAGAAGAAGAAAGACAACAAAAATGGTTGACGTGGCCAGGGTTGGAGCCTTTTCGTTTGTTTACCTTCCGTCTCAATCCTTTACGCTAGGTACGCAGAGCGTAATACTAATCGGCGAAATTAGTTTTAAAACACATTTGATGCTCATTTAACGTGTGTACCTATTCTATTGATTTCCTGCCCTGTCACCGGCCTGACAACTGACCAGTGTACAAAATCTGTTCTAATCAAGACCTTTGGTCACAATTTTGGCATCGACAGCAGCTGTTCACCAACGTCACCAGTCTACATCTTATACCATACTGCTTTTTTAGTGCAATATTCTACAACTGCCTCCTCTTACCGAAGGCTTTCAACCTAAGGACAGGTCTACACGCGTGTTGCCGCGCCTTTGTGGGTGTGGCATGACGCAGTTTGCATTATGAACGAATAACACCGGCATCAAGGAGAAAGTAAACACAACATGACGGCCGCTTTGAGTTGTATTGTAAGATGGAAATGGAATGAACTGCCTATTCTGAACCACAGCAGGAGTAAATATATGGTGCTTATATCGAGAATGTGACATAAAAGCGACTGGAAAACTCTAAAATGAAGACAACGCGAGACAGTCGAGTCAAATACCAAGGTGAGCACTACTTTACGTGGATATTGAAACATTTTATTTCTGCTTCCTGTTACCTTTCGTCGCGAAGCATGCTTGCATTATTTTCGGTGTATTCAAATTATCTATAAACAAAGTTTTTAATCAAATACAATGAATATATGAAGTTCATATATTTTGAACTGCGGTTGTAGATACGTATGATGCACGATCCTCGCAGTAGAGAGCGCTATTTATGCAAGTGCGAATATCAGACCTAAAAAAAATTTTAATGTTACACGGGATGTTTAAATACTTTCCTCCATTGAAGGAGGTGAGTTTGCAGCAAAGACTTCTTAATTGTAGAATGTAATGCTTTTTAAACATCCGAGTTATTGTTAATCGCGCCTGTGAGTACTTTGTACAATTTTTTAATGGAGCTGAACACATTTCTTGATAGGTTTTGAGTTTAAATCACTTGTTAAGGCATTACTTTAGGAAAGAATTGCAGATCAGCTGTTTAGTCTGAGACTATACGAATAACAAGTCATTTTGGTAGGACATCTTATCAATTTGACCGGACATCAATCAGCATAATTAATTAGCATAATGAAACTCACTAGAATAATGATTTTCAATAACTGCAATTAATTTTTTTATTTAATTGTCAGTTATGACCATAAACACTTCATAATACATTTTTACTTCATGATACTGAACAGAAAATCTCCTCTGAAGTATTTTTTGTTCGATATCAGTACTTTATAGTAAACTGATATGCCGGGAAAAACTAAAGCAATGTTTAAAGTCCTTCGATGTGATGATTTTGATAAAGTACAAATTCTCCCACACGAGAAAAAGAAGTTGTGCAGTAGTTTTGTGTAGCCCGCCAAAAGGCCGTAAGAAAGAGAAAGAAAGTCTTAAGCACTGTAAACAACAAACGGGTCAAGTTTACTCGACCATGTTTACTTTTCTCAGGATTTTTCCCGAGGAGTGTACGAGCTCCGAATATGTACTCCGAGGATTAACCGAAAACTATCCGAAGGTCTCCGAAGTTACCCGGAGATCCTCGAGGCACAATCGAACCCCCAGCTTAATTTTTATCTTATCTATTTTTCTATTTTTATCTTTTGCTTATTTTTGATTATTAAGTCATCCATTTTTTAACGGCCGTGAAACGAAACTGATAAACAGCAAATCATTCCTCAAATTTAGGTTAACATGGTCAGCGTCCCTTTAATCGAGATCTCGATTTTTCATTAAAAGGGTACAAAGAAAATATAACAATACCTAAGTCAGTCTAACATATATTCAATTTCAATTCCGGGAAAGCACTGCTTAACAAAAGTGATATATAAGCTCTTCTGTTAGAGACAGGCCTCCCTCAGTCCTCCTCAACAGACCTTGCAGGTTTTCCGGCCAACCTTTCCGAAGAGCGTACAAGCTCCGAATATATTCCGAAGATTAACCAAAGATTTTCTGAGGGTTTTCGAAGTTACTAGAAGATCCCTGAATTTTTCAAGGTCTGTTTTTAATTTAAAACAACTCCGAAAATTTTCTGAGTGGTGTACGAGCTGTGCATATACTCTGAAGTTACCCGTGGATCCGGCCTGAGTAACAATCGAACCCCCATGAGCATGCATATGGTCGAACACATATGAGAATTAAGAAAACGCTGAAGAATCCGCCTGAGCCATATTTTCACTGTTCTATTTTCATGTAAGTGACACGGAATTTTTGATGGTGAATTTTGTCTTACACAAGTGAAAAGTGCATGGATATTGGGTAAATTCAAATCAGTCTGTTTCCTGTTGGAAGGTTATCCACCCCGATACCCCACTCCTCTTTCCTCGTCTGAAGAACAAAGAACGATCGAAATCGCAGGCCTTGTGAGGACTTGGCATGCAGTAAAATACGTTAATGACGCCATTGTCTAAAAAGTGATCGCGAAATTATTTTTTGAGTTAAAACTTAAATTCTTAAATTTTGAATAAAAATAGGGCGACAAAAATAAGTTCTTGTATACCCGACACGTTATGTATCACAATAGTGTACTGTATGGCCACGTGTGTAATCATACTATCTAGCTGTATGATGTACAATTACTGTGTCATAATAGCGACGCACGGTCGAGTAAGAAAGAGTAAAAAATTTGCGCAAAGTCGATAAATTGTTCTGAAAAATGGATTGGAGAAGAACGTACGCGGATGTTGTATCAGGTACGTTCTATTGGAAGTTTGTTATTTTTACATTCCCTGTTCTAGATCGCTAGAGATTTACTGTAATTTCCTTTCAATTTCATTAAGGAAGATCATCTTGCTCTGAAAGTGACGAGGACCTGGAGACAATGTAAGGTATACTGGTAAAAGGAAAGTGCAGAGAGTTTTCCTATGATATTTTTCTTTCGGCATTTTTCGCTAATACAGTTGCGAATTAGTACATATTTGGGTAGGCTGGAATACGAATAAATGAATCGTTCCTACGGTTGAAAGTGTCTTCCTAAAACGTGCTTTCGCGCTACGAGAACTCGAGGTGTCGTATGTCGATTGCATTTAGGTAGAGAAAAAAAGATAACGAGTGTTTCACAATTCTACAACCCCTCCCCCCCTCCTGTGCAAGTGGCCGAAATTTTGCCATGTTTTTCATAAAATTTGCTCTGAATTTTGTACGGCACCGAATTTGCTCTGAATTTTGTACGATCTTATTGGAAGCTATCCATCATTAACGGGATGAATTTTTGGAATTTTTTGGTGTGAATTGCGCAACGAAAGTGAAAATTTGTTCCTGAAAGAAATCCACATGTTCTTGTGAAAAGTTAATTCTTCTCTTCAGTTCATTTCTGGGGCGGGGCAGCCATATTCAATGCAGCGTAAATGTGAGTGTTTCGAGGCTTCTTCTAACATAAGTTATTATATAGTGTTTCTTAATTCCAAAAGAAAACAGGGGAGATTTTTTTTCCAGTTCTAGCCCCTTCCTTCTGAGCTTTTCATAAGGTAACTGAGAGATTTGTCAGGCCTGCGGGTGACTAGACGTATAGTGCCGTGGAGGTGTAATGTACTTTTTAAAGTGTCGTTCCACTTAATTAAAATGGGCACTCGCATTTCCCCACTGGTAAATTGTGGTTTCGAAGAATCTACATACATATGTTGTTGTATTTCAGCTATGAACTATACTTTTGGCTGATAATGTTTTGTTTTTGTTACTCAAAATCCAATTTCCTGTTTGATAAAATTCCACATAGAAAACACACCGTATAAAAAGGCCAACATTATGACATAAGCATAGTGTAATTTTATCTCGAAGCCCGTCATAGTTAAGAATTTAGGTGTGCCTTTGCATGGGGCAAGGAGCGTTGTCAATCACAGAACGTTAGCCAATCAAATAAGGTCAGATCAAATAGCACCAATTTTATATAGGCAAGGTCAGTTTCTCTCCTGGTTCTTCTCGCCTTCATTCCCATCGTGTTAACATCCGAACACAGATTTTCGGTACTGTAGAAGAATTTTCCCGCCCCCTCCCCATGCTCCGGTCTTCTCTTCAGGTTTTTGTTGCCTTTTTATACATACTTGGCTCTTTGCCGAAATTTAACCCCACCTTTGCTTAAGAGATTCCGACGGTGATGTGTATTATATCAATGTTCTTGATGTCGGTTGAAATAAAAACGCCACTGTTGTGGCCAATGTATCCCACACTAGCAGTTATTATTCTATCTCCCGTCAATCTC